CCCCGCCGTGGACATGGGCTCTGTGAATTACCTGCTGAGCCCAGCCCCGGAGACCCGTCCTGGCCCCCAGACCCTCAGAGGGTCCCAGGCATACCTCACACACACCTCCCGGGGCAGCTGGGAGCGGAGGGAGTATACCTTGGAGGGCAGAAAGCTCGGAGGCGGACCTTCCTGGCTTTCCTGAGCTGTCCGTTACTCTGAGACTCTCAGAGGTGCGTGGGGATCTCATGAGATGATGCCAGTGAATTGTTCGGTCACTGGGCGTGGCCATTATCATCTCTATCATTGTCTGACTGTCCCATGACCCAGTGGCCCTTGGCGGACCTGCACCGGCCTGGAAGGCCGGGCACGAATAGCAACCATGCAACACGACGGCCCCCAGAACTCACGCGGACAGGGTGTTTGACCTGCCTCACCTGTGGGGCGGGATGGGGCGGGCAGATTTGGCCGCGCAAGGCTGGAGGCAGTGGGTGATGGGAGAATCGTTCAGTCATTTCATCCTTGCAGCCCCGGTGCCTCATACTGGTCCAGAAACTGGTGACATGCATCACATGGACCAGCCAAGAGCTGAATTCAGCCCTCAAGTGTGACTTCCTGGGCCAGCGAATTTTTTAGGATCGGCCACCATTTTAAAACCCAGGGATTTGAAACCACCACAAGGTGGATTTCTCGTTTCTCATCAAAGGCAGGTGGTCTGGCTACAGAGGCTCTTATTCCTGCGAGGCAGTGACCGGCTAGAGATGAGCAGCAGCTGCTCCTCGGTGTGGGTTTGTCATGTCCAGTTCACCACAGACCCCACCGCTCCCCACTGCCTCCCAGCACTGACACCCAGTTGCCATTTATCCTTCCCCTTGTCCAGTAGGTGTTTTTTTGTTTTTGTTTTTTTAATATATTTTATTGATTTTCTACAGAGAGGAAGGGAGAGGAACAGAGAGCCAGAAACATCGATCAGCTGCCTCCTGCACACCCCCTACTGGGGATGTGCCCGCAACCAAGGTACATGCCCGACCGCAAA